AAATTTTACCCTCATTATAAACAAGTGAATCTGAGAGTAAAACTTTGATTTTATTGAAAGTAAAATTTTACTCTGATTGGATGTAAAATTTTACACTGATTGGAAGTAAAATTTTACTCTGAAAAATTTATGAAGCAAGTGAATTTGAAAACATTGAAATTGCAGGACCAAAACACTACAGAAATCAAAGCGTAATGAGCAAAGGCTAAAATTAAAGTAAAATTTTACTCTGTAATAAGTAAAATTTTACTCATTATAAACAAGTGAATCTGAAAGTAAAACTTTACTTTTACTGAAAGTAAAATTTTACTCTGATTGGAAGTAAAATTTTACTCTGAAAAATTTATGAAGAAAGTGAATTTGAAAGCATTGAAATTGCAGGACCAAAACACTACAGAAATCAAAGCGTAATGAGCAAAGGCTAGAGTTAAAGTAAAATTTTACTCTCATTATAAGTAAAATTTTACTCTGGTAAAACTTTAATTTTATTGAAAGTAAAATTTTACTATGATTGGAAGTAAAATTTTACTCTGAAAAATTTATGAAGCAAGTGAATTTGAAAGCATTGAAATTGCAGGACCAAAACACTACAGAAATCAAAGCGTAATGAGCAAAGGCTAGAGTTAAAGTAAAATTTTGCTCTGTAATAATTAAAATTTTACTCTCATTATAAGCAAGTGAATTTGAAAGCATTGAAATGCCAGGACCAAAACACTACAGAAATCAAAGGGCAATGAGCAAAGGCTAGAGTTAAAGTAAAATTTTGCTCTGTAATAATTAAAATTTTACTCTCATTATAAGCAAGTGAATTTGAAAGTATTGAAATGGCAGGACCAAAACACTACATAAATCAAAGCGTAATGAAGATTTAAAGTAAAATTTTACGCTGATTGGAAGTAAAATTTTACTCTGATTGAAAGTAAAATTTTACTCTCATTATAAGTAAAATTTTACTCTGGTTGGAAGTAAAATTTTACTCTGAAAAATTCATGAAGCAAGTGAATTTCAAAGCATTGAAATTGCAGGAGCAAAACACTACAAAAATCAAAACGTAATGAGGAAAGGCTAGAGTTAAAGTAAAATTTTACTCTGTTCAAAATTTTTGAACCTTAACATTCTCACATGATTTAGTAATTTAAAGTATTCTAAGATAATGATAAAATTTTTAGAACAGATGATCCTTAGTCCAACCAAAAATCCCAAATTCTACTCACCCAACATAATCTCATACACCACTCCCAGAATGATAAATCAAAGCGTAATGAACAAATGCTAGATTTAAAGTAAAATTTTACTCTGATTGGAAGTAAAATTTTACTCTCATTATAAGTAAAATTTTACTCTGGTTGGAAGTAAAATTTTACTCTGAAAAATTCATAAAGCAAGTGAATTTCAAATCATTGAAATTGCAAGAGCAAAACACTACAAAAATCAAAACGTAATGAGGAAAGGCTAGAGTTAAAGTAAAATTTTACTCTATTGAAATTGCAGGAGCAAAACACTAAAAAAATCAAAACGTAATGAGGAAAGGCTAGAGTTAAAATAAAATTTTACTCTGTTCAAAATTTTTAAACCTTAACATTCTCACATGATTTAGTAATTTAAAGTATTCTAAGATAATGATAAAATTTTTAGAACAGATGATCCTTAGTCCAACCAAAAATCCCAAATTCTACTCACCCAACGTAATCTCATACACCACTCCCAATATGAAAACAAACCCACGCAGACTTCATAATATGGAAAACCTAGCAGAAAGAGGAAAAAATCACCTGTAAAATGTGTGTCCAAGAGAGAGAGTAAAGCATAATGCCAAGCGACGAACCTGTAACCTTGCTAGGGTTTCAATCGACGAAACTGTAACGAAGTAGCTCCAGAGAGCCAGAGTAATGAGACTCAGAGAAGGGTTACAATCGTTGCTAGGGATTTCGAACGATGATATTCAGAGGAGACGAGGGTTTTCAATCGATGAAACAAAGGAAAGAGAGAGAAACGGTGTAATTGTTTCATATTTCCCCCCTTATATATGGATGGACATTTCGGTCAATTCATGCTATTTTTTTAATTGAGGGCTTTTGGGGCCATTGTTTTCATCCGTGGGCTTGAGACAAAATAGGCCTCATGGAAGGGGGTTCTCACCAAAAATCCCAAGGAGAGGCCTTTCGTGTAACCCAGAGACAGCCCTGAAATTCATAGCACAAATACTGAATTCTATGTTTGTGATTGATTGATTAGCCTCTTGTTTTTTTAAAGCTCCAATCATCTCTTAATTTCTAGAAACTACAAGGCTGAAAATCCTCTGATCTTGGCAATGGCATTGCACTGCACATGCATCGATTCCTCTAAAATTCTTTTTCTTTTTTTTTTTTTTGAACAACTTTAAAATTATGTTTGAATTTTTTATTTAAGTAAAAATTTATGAGAAAAAAGGAGAAGAATAAATAAATTGTCCAATACTTATTTTTATAGATGTCTTTCCACAATAATTGTAATGGAGAAAATTCTGATTTAAATTTAAATGAATTTAAAATAATATTATTGCATGGATTGAGATGATAAAATTTTCCATTTTTATTCATTAAATAATTGCTTGAAAAGTTTATTTTAAAAGTTGTAAATAATTTGTTACCAGTATATGTTTATAGGCATCAAATAGTCACAAAAAATAAAAAAATCACAATTTTAAAATCTATTCACAGTGAAAAAATAAAATAACAAAAACAAAATCTATATTTTTGGTTCTTTATTTTACCTTAGCCTTAAATCCATATTCAAATTTAAAATTCAAACATAACCTATATATTTTTTTTTAATTTGTGAAATCCATCATAAACCTCATTGAATAATTACTCTTAATTTATTTTATATTTTAAAGGTCACACAAGCTCGAGGTACACTATTAAAATTATTGGGTTAATAAGTCCAAACTCAAACCTTTTTGAGTCAAAAGGAAATTATATGTCTAAAAAAACACATATATATTTAAAAAGGGAAATGCTTGGTAACTCTAAAAAAAGTCTCCCTAATTTCTTTTTTCTTTCTTTTTGGAAATTGTTTTTTTTTTTTTACCTGAAATGAAATTTCGGGGGATTCGGGCTCCCCAATTTGGGGGATGAATCACGGCCCATTTAAAAATTCATCTATATGCTCATTGTAATCTATTTATTCAAAATGTCACATATCAATTTAAATATCATTTATGTATATATATATATATATATATATGTTATTTATCTATTCATACATACATCTAATGTTACTTAATGACTTTTTCAATCAATTTTTAGACGGTTTTTCAATGTATAAGGATGAACTGACACCTATTAACTCTTTTTAAATCATTACCCATAAATAAATCATTCATAAAACTTGATAAAAAGGTCGACATCAGAAGATTCCCCATATATAAAAAGTACTTGAAAGACTCCCACTTGCATACCAAATTCCAAACCCTAATGTTAGATGACTTAAAAACTGCCGTCCTATGAACTTTTTACAAGCAACTTTATTTCACATCAAACCATAGTAAATTCTGTTCAAACTATCCAAACACTCAGAACAAAAATCTTACTAAAAAAATGTGTGTAAACACTATTAAATAGATAAATATCTTCTTCTTCTTCTTCTTTTTTTTATTTTTTATTTTTAACAACAAATTACATTTAATATCTTTTATTTTTTTAATTGAACCTTGTAATTATTCCTTTTTTTCAAAGTTAAGTTTTTAATTATTCTTAATTTTAAGATGTAAACAATTCAATTAAGTTTAACACCAAATTGAGACCTTATTTGGCATGATTTAAAAAAATTTAAAAGTCAAAAAATCACTATCCTATTTAAATCATATTATCTTATTTAAATCACATTACCTTTCTAACACATCACTTCAAAACCAACTCATATTCAACCCATATTTCATAAAAAATCAAAAAATACATTTATTTAGATCATTCCAAACCACCCCTGAATCTTTCAATTTTGATGATTGAAAAACCAATACAAATTGTATACTATTATTCAGTTTGTTGTCAATTTTAACGGGATTTATAAAAACATCTAAAACCATATAAAAAATAATGAGAAAAAAAATGTATTAATTTTACTCTAGTGTAACTGTTCACCTCCCTAATTTTTATCATAAAAATGTATTATATTAATCACTTATCTTACAAAAATCGAAGAATTAAAATATAATATTCCATCGGCTCAATTTGCTTCAATACAAAAAATTTCAAAACCCAAACACACCATATTATAAAAAACATATAAAAAAAACTAAAAATTTTCAATCACTTTTGATAGGTCAATTTGGTTCCTTTTACACCACTACTGAGTTTTTATAGAATTATTCTTTTTCTTTTGGTAGCCATGCATCTCCAATGCAAATAAGGGAAACAATAAAACATAAAAACTCATCAAGTTAAGCTCAAATCTTAAATTTGTATGTTAAAGCCAAGTTTGACAAGTTAAAAAAAAATCAAAAAATTACTCAAAGTTAAAAAATTATCGCTATTCACCAAAAGTCAAAAATTACGACTACACAATTCCCAATCTTAATTTTTCCTACACACTAATTTATACAATTTTTTAATATACATTTTTTCATAAAAAGTCAAAATTAACTCAAACAACCATATTAGTCCAAAAAATCAAAAAGTACAGTTATTTCAGACATCTCAAACAAGTCCTAAATTGTGTTCGAATCTAAAATCCTATTTTCAGTTAACCTCCGTAATGGATACGTACTCGTAAAAACAAAAAACAATTATTTGTTTAGTTACCTTACCAAAAAAACAAAAAAACTGAACTAAAACAAAAGAGTATCATGCATAGTATTCCAATTTTATTTCCCCTTCCCTGCACAAATCCAAGATCTAAACATTGCAGGGAAGTATTAAAGAGGTTTGATGACAAAATTTAATTTAGGGTAGTCCCGCATCGGAACAAAATCGCAAGTTCTCAAAGCACCTTTGACGTACCCCACCCAAACACAAGTGGCATCTCCCAAGTAGAAAGGCTAGTATAAACACAAGCAGAGGCAACAAAAGAACATTCAGTGGCTATATATATATATTTACATACAGATGACAACTAGGTATACAAGAAAAAAAACAACAAAATGTAAAAGAGCGTACTTCACCGTCTTGTCCCTCCTGTCTTTAGCACAAGAGGTGGAGGTGGAGCCGACAAACTTTTCTTAACCCATCTGAGGTGAAAACTAACAAGCACTATTGAGATTTCCTTGACACCAAAAAAACAGAACAAAAAACAAAAACATTTAAAATAACAAAAATGCTTGGTAGCTCGAATTTATGTGGCCCGAATAGCTCGAATGTCTCAAAACGACCATTTGGGCCAGAAAAATTCAAACTACCAAGCATTGTTAAAATAATTATGCAACAACATGCTTATCCAGCAAGGCAACCCACTCTCTCCCAAGACACCTTTTGGGCTAAATAATAGCCCCTTTTTTTAAAAAAATCGCACCGGTATTTTTATTGCCGCATGTAACTGAACCGGCCATTCCAGCATGGACTAATTGTTGTGGATGTCATCACTCCGCACTAAAAAACCAAAATCATAAAGTGATTATCAAGGTCATTCTCCACATCACCCTTGTGATTTTTTTTTTATTTTTTACTCCTTAAAAGTTGTCTTTTACCTATACTATGACGAGGGGCATAGAAACATCACTGGCTGGGCCCCATGTCCAATAATTGGTCTTCAGTGCCTACCACCACAGCATCCAAGGCCGACTTGCAGCGTTTGACCTCATCATTGACTGGATGTTTAATCTTGGGTGATAGCTTCTTTACTTCTTCATTTGTGTAGATAAGAATCTTCTTCACCATGCTGCAGAACTCACTGTAAACATAACCGAGAGTACAAAGATTAAAATTGGAAGTCGATAAGGATGAGCATTCCAATATGATTATAAAGCAAAATTCATTTCAAGAGTCATAGTAAACCTGCACAATAGACAAATGATATCCCTAAAATATGAAAATTAATCAATGAAAGAACAAATTTCCAAGAACTTCTGCCATTACAAAGAGCTGCATATTCTCAAAAACGTTCTGAGGTCATTTCTAGCAACCTCCTCATTCTTGCCAGCCAAGAATCAAAACCTGCAGATGCGTCTTAGGATTTTCAATTATTAATACAAAAATGTTCCAAAAAATTACCTAACCACAAACCTAACACTAGAACAAACACTTCAAGTGCATATCAAATGTTGTCACATTTTTAACTCAGCCATGACTAAGCTTGCTCACAAAAACAAAATTCAAGACACTGTTTCAGATGAAATTTACATTTTGAGATCAACATGTGCACTTAAGTAACAATTATACCCCACATTATGGTTTATGCTTCCAAATATAATCCCATTTCCAAGTCAGTGAAGGTTAATGTAAATTAATATTCAATTCTTAGCAAAGTAGAACACAACCACAAATACATCCTCGGTTTTTTTTGTTAATATTCTTGGAAATCCAAGACAAAACAACCATGGAAAATGTTCTAATCAAAATCTTCAAGAAGCAGACAGAACATAGAATTATAAATGAAACAAGTGAATTTCCATGGAAGTCTAATAGAGATGAATCGACCTAATGAATTGTTCCAGCAATGCATATTCGATTACGCAACTGAAGAGTTGTTTAAATGTGCATGCAAATAACTATCAGGTACCAGGGCCAACAATCCACATGATACAAGCTTGTTAAAATGGCACAACTATATGGTACCAGATTTATCTTCCTATTTTTAGTTAACCTCCGTAAAAAAAAAAAAAAACTCTATACTACCAGGTTTTACGTGCTTATCCCAAAAAAAGAAAAATGTTAGATCTCCACATTTCAGATGGTCCCAAGCCATCCAAGCATAATGCAAATGATACCCACATGTCCAGTTGGAAGGCTTATGAATCCCTTATTAAAGTTTAGGCTCAATGCTATCAGAACACTAGAGGCTAGAACCAATCCCATAGAGAAACAGGAAAATAAAGCAAGCATATAAATGAATGAAGGCAAAGGTCAGTTACTTAACTGCCATGGATCATCCCCTACCATCATCATATCCTCCTCATCATCTGTATAGACAACCTGCCATTTCTTCGCTGATCCATAGAGTTCGCCTTCAATTTCAAACATCTCCTCCAATTTCCTGAGCAGATCCTCGTAACCATCCAAACGTGTCAAATCCACCGCCCTCCCAACAGCAATCCCCTGCATGTGTACCTGGACAAAATTATACACATTCCATCAAAACATTTCCATCCAAACAGATGTTTACAGAGAACCTGAAATATGTGTATATAAAGCACTCATATCTCAGGTAATGGAGATCGATCCTTAATTTTCTTTTCTTTAAAACGAAAGGAAAGAATTTACAGTATCGGCCAATTACCTTAGTACAGCTTCGAATTTGTCTGCTATGTGACTCCTGGGGAGATCTCAAGCATGATTTCTCAGGCTCACAGCTCAATGAAGGAATATCAGATCGATTAATATTTGAAGGTTCAGAATGCCCATCAGATTCACCATCTAAAGATGGAGCTGGTTCGTCCTCCCCCACTGCTCCTGCAACTGTAATCATTGGCAAAGTTTCTTCCATAGTAGAATTGCTAAGGAGCTCTATCCCAAAGAGCCTGTATCCGTTGGTGGTGGCCTGTCTCTTTTCAGTGGATTCCTTGTTAACTAAAGGTAAAAAAGACTCTGTCATAGTTTCCACTTGGTTAGACCAGTACATTGATTTGCTGGAAACTGGGGCCAGGGAACTGTTATCGCTGTAGCTAAGAGAGCTGGCCTTCGGACCAGAAGAGAATTTGGGAGATGGATAGTGATCCCTCCCACGTATTTCACAATATGGGAAAGATGGAGGACACTCAACTGAGGTTTTCCACATACCTAAAGGCCCAAAAAAAACAAAAGCATTCCAATAAAACACACACACAAAGGGGAACTGCAGTGAAGATGTACTAGACATAAGCTGTGATACCCAGTGCAGAAAGATCAGGCATTGGAGAGGATAAAACTGGCGGTCGTGCCCGCTTGTTCCTCTGCAGAGGTTGGGAGCTTGGAGGACTTGCTGCTACAAGTGGTTCTAATTCCCATGGCGAAACTCTTTCTGGACGCAAAATTGACGAAGGCTCATCCCATTGAACCTGAAACAGGTACAAAGACAGTGCACAACTTACAATGTCAAAATGTGTGCAAAGACATTCAGACAATATCCACCAAAAACTGGATGGCTCCCCTCCTAAGAAAATCTGAGCAGATAGCATGCTTCATCTTAACAACCAAATGTAACATGAATCCAACACTATTGGCAGTCCACAATAATGCAAAAGATGAGTTGTAAAGAGTTGATTCATAGCGAGATTGTTGCAAATACTAAAGATTATCATGTATTGTGTTTCAATTACAACAGGGGATCCTAAGCAACATAAATCAACAAGTGACAAATGCACAATGCCATACATTAACTACTGCATCAGACTAGTCTGAATCATTCATAAAATCTCAAAATTGTGTCCTCGTACAACCAAGGATGGAGTGTTTTCAACCACAGGACATCCATATGACCCCTCCGCAGACCATAAAACTAAATCCAAAGTCAATACCACTCTTGAAGGAGAAATATAGTTACCTTCAAGGATCTCCATTCAGAATCAGGCCATCTAGTTGATGTACCTTCCTCAACACCAACAATTGTTCCACTGAACCTGCATATATATTTTGATTAACATTTCTAAGTTCCTGATCCTAACAAATATTAGCCCAGTTACACAAAATACCTTCTTTCTGGAACTTCCTCGCCCTCAAACCTCATCTTAAACCTCATCCCAACAGAGAGCTTCTGGCTCTGCGCTTCAATGTACTTGTTGACACTTACAATGAACTCAGACTGACTTGTTCTGCCACAAATAGTGCTAGAGTTCAGTAAAACCAATTTTTACCAACCAACTACAAAGCAAAAGCAAATTTAGCAAAGAACTTATTTTGGATAGTCTATGCAATTAGAACCATTTTTCACAGGGCATATTTGTGGATGCAAGGGTGGGAACTTCAAGGACAAGGATATTGAACCTTCATACGAGAAAATGTCATTAAATGCAAAAAACTAAATAAATAAACAAAAACAATCTGTGCATTGCACATATTATAAACTTCACTTCTGCAATTGGGAAATCCAAAACCCAGTAAAAACTGAAAATTAACACTAGGCTTCTCAAAAAAGAAACTAGTGGAAAGCATTCATGTATCCAAGAATAATACCAGAACTAAGTCAATACAAAGAACCCAAACAAATCTCTGGACTTAAACATGCACTAACAACATGAGATCTCTTTAAAATTATCACTTGCAATTCAAAGATTGAAACCTGATATTGTAAATGGCACTGACGAAATTAAATGCCAGATAAAACACAAGAATACCAAAAAGATGAAACAAAACTACACATACATGCATCTGTCCATGCAAAATAAGGCAAAAGAGAACCTTGGTTTGTAGAAAGCAGAAAACAGGGTTCCAGTTGAGATAGCATGAGACGCAGTAGCAAGAACCCCAAGATGCATGCTGTGGCTGGATATAACAGAAGAAGGCATGTTATTCTGCTGTCTCATGAGCCTCCTTACTCCAACTCGGAGCTCCCCATTTTCACCCCTGCAAAATATACAGAAAAAAAATATTACAAGTTTACAACTAGACGAGTTCAACCAAACTATAAAAAAAATATATATATATTAATTCCAACATGTATGAAGAAACTTGCCTCAAAAAAATAAAAGCATCACCAGCAACTAATTTCTTGGCGCTAACAAAGACACTCCAGCCAGTTGTGAGCAAGTGGCGCCTGGGTTGCCCTGTGAAAGACGTTTATGGATTAAGTCTACCAATACATAAAGACTCAACAACTATAAAAATTAAAAAAAAAATTAAAAAAAGGGTTAAAATTCAGAACCATATGAACAAAATGCTACAAACATCCTGAAATTTTGAACTCCATACATTTATGTGATATTGATGTGCTTGAATTAAATCAAATTTTCATGATGGTATTGATGTGCACGACACAGAGCTATCACAAAAACATCTTAAATTACAAATAGATACATATTCAATTGATAGAGATAATTTAATTTGATGACCAAAACATCCGTGACATCCAGGGAAAATAATTTACTAACTAGCAATAGCATACTGATAGAAAATCTCCCAGCACCTTGCTCCTTTCTTTGCAAGGAATTTGGCCTTTGCAGTTACCTGACTGAGCTAAACAATAAAAGAAGCTATACTCCAGGGTAAAGAACAAGTCCACATATGAGATGGCATTTCCAAATCAGTTACGAAATTCCGTTTCATTTTATTTTATTTTTTATTTTTTTTGATAAATAAAAATTCCGTTTCATTATAATAGACATCCAACACATTATGCCTTCGACAAAAATACTAGGCAAGACTCGTAGCTTTATTGGAGTGTTAAGAACGCAGATGCAGACCTGTATTAGCACAAACCACAAATAACCCCCATTCTCCAAAAACAGCCAATGCCATCAAAGCAGGTCACTTATTCTAATAGTTCAGCAAATAACAACCACAAACACTTATCGGCCATCAAGCAACATCACTATAAACCATTAGACCACCATATGTAATATGACACCGTTAGCTTGCAAAAAAGATGATCTAATATCACAGGTAACTCATTTAAAAAGCTTCCAGCGCCCAGTATACTAATTCCAATATGAATTTCAGCCAGCTGCATACCACTGGGGCTTTGATGACTGAATGAAAATAAATAGAAATACAGTGCCTACAAGAATGAAAACACAGCGACCAAAAGCAGGTTTCCGACTTTGTCAGTTATAACTTATACTTTACTCCACTAAAATTACTCCCATCAAGAAGAAATCATGAATATGCTAACCTCGAAAAATGTGACGAAAATGCCATTCACTGCCATGAAGATCAGTTGCAACCAGTTCCTGCCAGGGTGGCTGTTGGGACATATCCTGAATAGGAAACAGGAAGTCAACACCAGAAGGAGAAAATCTAAAGAAAAAGAAGGTGATACTTTGGACAGTCAATCTATACATTATACAGCATGATAAAATTGATACACAATTTACAGCTTACCAGTGGAGGTAAGCAATCATCTGCATGCCTCCGAAGAACAGAAAATCCACCATGTGTGCTTGTGTCAGAAGCAGTAAGTGTCTTGCAAAATGAATGGACATTGCACCTTTGAGGTTCTGGAAGAGGTGGATCTGGGCTAGAAACCTCACTTTGCTGATCCACCAAAGGAAACATAAGAAGTCATCACAACAATCAGAGGAGAGGGGGGTGATATATACAAAACAACATGCCAAAAATAATAATGGTGCATAGTGCACTGCAAGAAAGTTAACAACGCAGTGAAAAAACAACTTAAATAATTTCCAGTTATGACAGAATGATACAGGAAGAGATACAGAGAGAGAACTCACATCTGCTTCAGGAAACAGAGTTATCTGTGCATAAACTTCATCTGTTTCTTGTTCAGCCTGTCCCATAAAAAGAAAGAAGCCAAAAGTTATGGTGTGGCTCAAGGAAAGAGAGAAGAAAACTGATTACGAAAGTGTCAATGATCATGATAAAAACATACCCGCAACTGAACATTTACTACTTTGCAAAGTATTTTTGCTGGTAGATTGAAAGAAGGGAGTTGTTGATCTAATCCTTGATGGGTTGATGCCTCAAGCTGTAACAAGAAATAATAGCCAGATGAAACCAAGATGCTAGAAGAGAGCGGAAGCGATTGGCACGAAAATAGAGTGCATGCCAATGGGTTCCGACCACTCTTGCAATGTAATATAGGCATAGCGACAGATGCTATACAAAGGATCCACATCCAGTCTTATACAAAAACAAAAACTTTGCACACAAAAAAACAAAGGATCAGCTCACAAAAAACACTGCAAAAAGAATTGGCTTCAATTGGTACCAGCTTAAAAGTCGGCTTCTAGGGGCTTTATTCTTTTGTTTCTAGTGGAATTTTTTTTAGTGAAAACAACTTTTTTCAACTTTTCAGGAGCTTTTAGACTAAAAGGCCTTGAAATTTATTTATTTTTAAATCTTCATTGGAAAAATGCTTTCAGAGACATAAAATAGGCTTCTTTTTTTTTCAACAGCATTTTTTCATTTAACATTATACGTTCTGTTTTTTTTTTTTTTTTAAAACTCAAAGTCGATGAAAATCTTCTTTTTTTATTTAAAAAAAAAAAGAAAAAAGAAGAAAATGCCGATATAGACCAAAAACCCAACAAAAGACAGATTTTAAGCCAACATCAAACAAATCCAAAGAACATAAAAGATGATGCACAGCTAGAATGTAGCAAAGAATCTTGTTAATTATGACGCTCTGTCTAAGTTTCCACTGATATACAGAGATATTGTGTATATATTAATTTGCACAATAAAAATTAAACAACAGAAAAAAATAATAATAATAATAAACAAAAACACTCGCTAATAGGTAAAGAGAAATTTCCTGTGTCGGTATAACTACATATGAATCAAATTCACGACTAAAGATAAAAACTAGAATACTTGTTTCCATTTTACAAACATAAAGAATTCATCATACCTGTTCCATGTGACCTTGTGGAAAGTAATAAACTCGTTCTCCTTCACGAGGAACATTGACCAGGGGTCCAGCACAGGCATTCCACAGTTCCTTGTACAGAGCATCATTTGCAGGCCCTATAATTTAGAAAACATGTCAAATTAACATAAAGAAAACAAGAGGACAAGAAGAAGAGAAGAAACAAACATAAACAGACTTGTCGGGGTGTCCTGGTGAATGGATATTTCTTTGTAAGATCCAAGTAGAGTATTGCTATCTGAAAATATTACTCAGGCAAAAGATCATCATAAAGCACCACCACATGTTATTAATTACCAAACCAAACCAAGCCTTAAGTCCCATCAAATGGAGTCGACTACATGAATCCTTCCTTTCCACGCGGCCCTATCAAAGGCCATTTCATTAGTCAAATTAAATAGATTCATATCTCTATTTAAAACGCTAGTCAACGTTAACCTAGGCCTATCCCGTCCCCTAACACTTCCATCTACCGTTACAGCATCGCATCCCGTCCCCTAACACTTCCATCTACCGTTACAGCATCGCATCTCTTCACTACTGTCTCTGTTGGTCTCCGTTGAATATGACCAAACCATCTCAAACGATTCTCTCTCAACTTATTTTCTATCGGTACTACTCCTACCCATTCCCGAATACACTCATTCCTAATCCTGTCTTGTCTAGTCTTACCACACATCCACCTTAACATCCTCATCTCAGTCACACTTATCTTATCTACATGTTTCTTGGTTGCCTAACACTCCGTTCCATACAACATAGCTGGTCTAATAGCCGTTCTATAAAACTTACCTTTTAGTCTAGTGGGAATTCGTTTATCGCACAAACACCAATAAATAGGAACCAAATAGCAATGATCCATTCAGCATCAAGCAGGCGTGCCGATACAAATCAAATTAAAATGGATTGTTCAAAAAACATGGAAATCATAATTAAATTTTGCCAACAAATTTGGGGAAAATGGAACAAACAAAAGTTTAGAAGTCTTCGACTTGTTCTAAGAACTTGATCCTATTAAAGTAAAGAAGGAATTCAATTGGGCATGCATTAGTTATAAGTATTATTCTATTTCTTTTTCTTGAGTACCAGATAAGCAAATTTATGACATAGTCCCCAGCTCTAAGCACTTTTAATTGGAAAAAAATGAGAAATTAATACAAATAATAGGCAATAAAGCACACCAACAGGGACATTAGATGTTCCACCTATTTCAAGCATTAATTAACTTGCATTAAGAAATAGCACTTGCCAGGTCAGATGATAAAATTGGAAGTGAATTTAAAAATAAATAAATAAATTCCAACCTGAACGAGACCCTCCAGAGAAATGATTTCCACCAATGTGTGCCATCAGAAGACCACCCCAAAATCCTCAGATCTCTCTAACTATATATATGACTATCCCCAAAGTTAGAACAAAACTTGCTTCTAGATTGTTGTGTTGAAGGAAACAGAGATTGAGCAAATACTAAAAATGACCAGCAATCAATAAATGTGTACAGTATAATCTCCAGTTATATAATTTGGAAGATCATTAATGCAGTAGATGGCTTCTTAGGTGGCTAATTAAAGCCCTTGATTGCTTGGAGAGTGTGAGTTACTGTCTATTTTTCTTCCCTTAAATGCAACAAACAAAGCTTTGGCTGTTCTGGGACTTTTAGCACTGATATATGAAGAGATGAAGATCACCCACATGGCGCGAACAGTTTACGGGTTGAATTTTACCAGTTATATAATTTGGAAGATCATTAATGCAGTAGATGGCTTCTTAGGTGGCTAATTAAAGCCCTTGATTGCTTGGAGAGTGTGAGTTACTGTCTATTTTTCTTCCCTTAAATGCAACAAACAAAGCTTTGGCTGTTCTGGGACTTTTAACACTGATATATGAAGAGATGAAGATCACCCACAAGGCGCGAACAGTTTACGGGTTGAATTTTATGCTCTGAACCTCCTTCAGGCTTAAAATTCAGAAACAGAAAAAAAAAAAAAAAAAAAATTATTCCCTGCAAGACCAAAATCACATGCTCATCAAAACTTTCCCAAAGAAAACTACAAAAATTATTGAAACTTCAAATCAAAATGGTTAAAACACATCATACATACATACATATATACATCTATCCATCTATCTAAATGGTTAAAACACATCATTGAAAGAGGCATGGAAGATTAGAGAAAGTGAAAACGGGTAAAATTGAACCATACATGCAAGGAAGACTGGAGATCGAACACTTGTAGTACAAAATCACATGATTACAAGATCTAAAAAAGGCCTCAGAAATCGATTCACTTCCAATTCCAGCATAAAATCACCAAAACTAAACAAACTTGGGTCCGAAAACACATATACATACATAGAAACGAATCAAAACGAAGCGATTCGGTGAAAAAAAAAAGGAGCGTAAGAAAGGAGAACCTAAGAGATTCGACAGATCGAGGAGATGATTGAAATCTTAGGAGAATCCGCCATGTCCGTCGCAATCGAGAGAGATTTAGAGGGTGGGTTGGGTTGGGTTGGGTTCAGACAAGAACAACAACAGAGAGCAGATCGGTCGGAACAATTAGGGTTTCAAAAAAAAGGGTAAAGGTCCGTGAAAGAGAGAGACATAATAAATAGGTAGATATAGAAACCAAATGCAGTAGTAGCAGTAAGTAATGTATATGTGTCGTTGTCTGGTTGAAGCCGACACGACCATTACAAGTTTATAACAATTATTACTCTTAAATTAGTAATAATAATAGTATAAATATTTTGTTGGTTTCTTTCTATACGTATATTTATTCACATGTCCATTTCCGAAGGTATAGCTGCTGGGTACTTTTTTTCGAGTTGGTTTCTCTCTCTAGGTGGTTGTTTAATTTGTGATTTTTTTTTTTTAATTTGGAACGAGGATAGAGATGGAGAGATTTTTGGATAGGGTTGGGGCAAGTGAGTGAGCTGGGCGCATGTCCCGAGAATATTAACTAGTATTTTGGGGAAGAAGAATAGGACAGGGACATTCGCACACAGGCTCTTCCAAATAGCGATCAAGAGCGTGCCCTGTCACGCCTACAAGTTCCCCATCCCGTGTCCACAAGCGTGGGATATCCGGCTGTTTGGCAAAGAATTTTTTTTTTTTATTTTTTGAATTAAAATTCATAATATAATAAAATAGATTAAAATAGTTAATAAGATAAAATATCATATTAAATTTATAATTATTTTATTTTTTTCTTATAAACATCATATTTAATTACAAAAAATTTAATTAATTTTTTAAATATAAAAATTTTAGCCTACTAAAATAGTAATTTCTCAAACACCCACATAATAAAATTTTGGATTTGGATCTTATCAACAAAATGAGTTGGACATTTTATATTTTTCTCATTTTTTTAGAGGCATTTACACGTAAATTTTAATTTATGAATTTATATTCTATTAAGTTCTAATTAAGATTTTTTTAGATTTTCAAGTCTTAAGGGTTGTTTGGGATAAACTAAATAAGTGTATTTTTTGACTTTTTATTAAATATGGGTTGGGTATGGGTTGGGTTTGAAGTGATGTGGTAGGGAAATTATGTGACTTAAATAAATGATGTGACTTAAATAAGATAGTGACTTTTTAACTTTTTGACTTTTTTTTATTATGTCAAACTAAGCCTTATTAAATTTTTAATAGTCAGAATTACCTTCAAATAATGATTATTCATCATTTATGATTATCTATAAAGGAATATAATGATTTGACATTTATTTTAATTTTTAAAATATCAACTTTCAAATTGAAAAAACTAAAAAAAAAATTATGTCCTAAAAAAATTAAAAACTGAATTTTTTTTGTATAAAATTGAAAATTTTGTGTCTATAAAGGAGCATGTTTACGAAACATGGATGTGCAAAATTTAAAAAAAAAATATTTAAATGAAAAAACTGATAATGTTTTCAGTTTTATTGAATAGTTGAATCAAACTAATAAGTAGAAGGCAAAAATGTTTAATATCATGTTCTGTTTTTTTTTTATCAGTTAGTAAAACAATTATCTAGAACATTACTATGCTGTGGGTGTTGATTTCCGACCACACAATCAAATAATGAACTTAGCTGGAGAGCACAGACAGAATAAATTGAGCCAACTACCTGCCAACAAGAAGATGAGAATGCCGCGATGGTTCATTCACCCGGGCAATTCTGCGGTGGTTCGTCCACCCGGGGGTACTCCGACGATCAAGTCAGTAAATCTTATCTCTTACTGATATCAAAACATTACTAAAACTCATAAGTCAAAAGCATATCTGAGACCCACGATGGTGCCTCTCTTTTATAGCTTAGCAATGTCGTGATCCTCTAAAAATCTCACTTCATAGGACTCAAGCACAATGCTCATCTCGGACTCTCAACATGATAGAGATAAACTCCTCAAGAGCCTTATCCTTATCCAGACTAAATGCCCTCTTTCACCCAGGACTCTTGCCCTTTATTTGAATATCTCAGGATTCCAGCATTACTGTAGATCATCTCGACCATGCCGTAACCACCTTAGCACATATGACCTACCCATGTGGCACCTTGGTTGATGTCTTAGCATCACCTTGACAACATGGCGTCAGTCTCAAAATACTTTCCCACAACTGCCCCTAGGTTCTATTACCTCGGCAACCTGAGGTGATGGGACCTATATCGTCTTATCTCTCAAAATGTTGGCTAAACAACATGCTAGAGGTACTCTTCCGACCGAGATCATGACTCGTTGGTGTTGTAAAAAGTTTGACCCTTATATACCATCGAGGTCTTTTCCTGAGTGGTGAAATCTCTAGTAAAACTCCTCAGTTAAGCGTGCTTATGCTGGAGTAATTCTGGGATGAGTGACCCACTGGGAAGAACAAATTTGTACGGGCATGGCCCAAAGCGGACAATATCGATGACATATAAAGGGTTGGGCCGTTACAAAATGGTATCAGAGCTAACTCTCTGAAGTACCAAGTGTGGGCCCTTAGCATCTCTCGGTGTATGTAAGTGGGCTTACGAGCTGGCAGGCTACTACACGAGGTACGTGTATCCCTAAGGGGGGTGGATTGTAAGGTCCCGGTGTTCTACATCGGGAATGAAGGGGGAGTTCTTGGGCTATAAAAGTAAAAACATGAAGCCTTATATAGCATCGAGGCCTTTTTCCGAGTGGTGAAATCCCTAACCAAGTTCTTTAAGCATCTCAGTCGAGATCGTTCCTCTAGCCGAGGCTATTGCCTCGTTATTTTAAGAAGGTCAAAAGTTTCAACTGGGCATGAACTACCACGCACTGTCATTTCACTCGTTTCTTCCACGTGTCTTATTCTTACTGGCTCATACTTGACATGCACCATCAAATCACGTTTGCCTACACATGACACCTGACAAGCACGTCACCCAAAGCATCTTCATTATGTTTTGCCGCATTTTCGCATTTTTGACAAAAATCCCTTCATTTTCTCTCTGTCTCTTCACTTTGCAATTACAACTCTCTCTTATCAAATTTTCTCTCTCTACCAAACCTCTCTCAAACCGCCATTGTTGTTCCCTCGAGCTTTTTGTAGCCGTCTGTTTATCACCTCTAGCAATCTTTTCATTGCTCCATCACCACCTGGCTACAACGAACATCGTTCCAGCATCTTCATTCTCGGCTCTACCTTGTAAGTCTCTGGATCCTTTACATTTTCGTTTCAATTTCCTTACTGTTCTTCACATTCGCGCCTTAGTCATGCTTTATGTGCTTTGAATTGTACGTTTTATTTTTCTCTAAATTTGCCGTATGCTTTTTTCTATTTGCTTTTGTATTTACTGTATTTGCTCGTATTCTCGTCCTTATCTTCATGTTTCGTTATGTCTGTTCAAATTTTCTCAAATTTGTATATGCTTTAAACATGTTTCTAGAATCTTTGTTCTTGGTTTCCTCATTTTGAATCAGTCCATAGGTGCATGTTCTTACAGCTATGTTTAGTCCACCAACGCTTTGATTTTAAATCTTGTTTTCTTCTGTTTTGTTTTCCAGATTCTTGCCTCTGCATCTTGTTTACCTTCATAGATTTACGCTGGAGATTTGCTTAGAAACTATACCCTTAGGAAATTGAAACAAGAATTCCTCTAAGATTTCCAGAATTCTTGTCCAAATGCTTATTAGGGTCTTGTCGAGGTCATAAACCCATATTAAGTTAGAATATTCAAATGAAGGGTAGATTCGCTGACCAAATTAGAATATTTTCGCCAAGAGTTCTCTATTCCAGCCGACATGCAACTCAAGTTGGCTGGGAAAGAGGACTCTATCATGCGTAGAGAAAACTATCTGCATTTCCTTGTTATGTCCATCATAGAGGAAAGGATCCGATTCCCACTTGACATCCTCTTCCAAGAAGTCTTGCACTTCTATAATGGTATTGCCGAGTTGGCACACCGAGAGAATACTAGGATCACCCTCGCCGACATCCAGTTTTGCTATACCATGTGTGGCCTCAAGTCCACCAGTGGTTATACTTACTATCTTAAGCCCAAATCCACCACATACAAACTCATAGCCAACCTCCCAAACTCCAACAAAGGCGATGGAGATGACTACTTGATTGTCTTGGGCAATTGGAAATTTACACCTAATAATGATCTTCATCTTTTCCCTCTGCGCCAAGGAGTTTTTAAAGAGGATGAGGGTAAGAACTTAGTAAAAATGCAATTCTTTTGCACTTATGCATCTATTTCTTATATCTGTTTTGAAG